ACCCGGGCCAGCCCAAGGTTAGGAGCCAAGCTTACTGTTCCTCTACACACAGGGGTAAGGCTGTCAAGGCAGAGCCTTGCTGCGGTGCTGAAGCACCCACAGTTATTGCACCTCGGCTTAGTCTTTTAATCTGAACTTTCCCACGTTGCCCGTGAGGTGACAGGAGTGATTCCAGGTGACTGGGTTACAGTCTCATGGGGCTCTCCAGACAGCCGCTGTCCTTGAGGTTGTTTAGGGCAAGCAAGCCCAGGCATCGGCATCTGGTGTAACTGCAGTTTAATCCCTCAGGCCTGGCAAGGTATATAGAGCTTCCTAGCCCCTGAGACAGAAATGGAGCTTGTGATCACTCTCTGTTAGCCTATACTGTAATGTCACATCATGTCTAGGCATCTCTTGCATCAAGAAAGAGAAGGTATGGGAAAATGGCCTGTTTGCCTCTTTCCCCGGACCGCCTTCTGTCCCTTAAATCCCATGTAATTTCTCTCTGCTTATGTAAAAATATATATATGTGTATATGCATATGTATGTGTCCATATCTACAGACACACACACATATGTATGTATATTTATGTGGATAAGTAAGCATATTTCTGTGTGTGTATATATGTGTGTATACATGTGTACACAACTGTACGTGTGTATACATGTGTATACACACATATGTGTATGCTTTTTCATAGAAACCCACAGTAACATATGAAGAGTGGATGAAGCCCCCGGAAATACCACAAGATCTCTCAAATGTAGCTTCTAACCTCATTCTTTCTGAAGGGAACCATGGCATTTTTGGTCATTTCTTGAAAGCGACAATGAAATTGATCATTGACGTGACTGTTTCTCCAAAACTCATTGCAAAACCAATTTTTCTGAGTACAAAAATCTCAAAGAGTAGTTGTGATTTTGTTTTGACCAAATCAAGTGTTGTTGGAATGGATCTCATTTCTGCCTTAATGAGGCAGAACAGTATCCAGTTTTGGATGAGACAAAGAAATTCAGACTGTTCTCAGTGAAACAAATTTTGATATTAATATTCCAGCACTGAGGTTTTTTTCCTCTTCAGATTAAAGAAAGGGTAGTCTTGCAGTTAAGGAGCTGAACATAAGACACAGTTTCTCAGTTTCCATGCTCTGCAACTTGCTTTCTGTTTGACCTTTGACCAGTCACTTAATTTCCCTGTGATTTAATTTTCTACCTTTAAAAAGGGATATAATGTTGACCTTTACCCATCCCTTGTGTTTCTCATTTAATTTGCTGATGATCCAGGGAGGAGCGTTACATGCTTTGGAGTCCTACAGGGATGTTTGTCCCATACCGTTAGTGAATGTAGTAATAAAAAAAAGAAAAATCATAAGTCTGCTGATTATTTAAAACATTTTCACATTTACTACAGTCGTTTTTTGTTTTAATCTTTAGTTTCTTCACTACTGCTCTGGGAATGTTTGGAACAAGACAGAGACGAGATCAATCTACTGGTAAGGTGCACAAATGAAAACTTAGTTTAAGGGAGAAATATCATTACCAAATTGTTGTTGTCCTTTCAAGAGTTTTAACTGGACTTAGGGAGTTGGGAAACTGGAAGTTTAGGAGCCAGATGCTCCTTCTGCTGTCAACAGATTTATTTTTTTTTTAAACAGGAAACAAAATAAGTTCTTTCTTTCCAGCACTTAGTGCTAGAGTAAACAGATTTGGTTCCTCACAGTAATGTGGGCCCAGCATAGTTAGCCCTTTATTGAGCAAAACTCCTATCAACTGTAACTGAATTTTAATTTGAATGAAGTCATCCAATTTCCCCATCACATAAGCAACTTGAATTTTGCTGTAGCCATCACATCTCCCATTCCAGCTCCTTGGTGAACATAACACAGCTAGCAAACAACCCTAGCAGATTTGAACAAAATGTCCTCAGTCATGTTCTCCATTACAAAAGTGGACGAAGTGGAGGATTCAAAAGTTGGTGCTGGTCTTTTTTTTCTTCATGCCTTACATTCCAGATCATGTTAGAAATAAGCACAAAGACATAAGAGGAAGTAAAAGTACGTGAATAAGAACAACTGCACATAGAATTGGAAGGAGGATCACTGCTGAACTCTGCTTGTAACTTCAGTCGGCTTGATAGCTCCTTGCAGAAAAACTCACTCTCAGTCTGTGAAGCCAGTTCTTTATTGAATTGTTACTGCTTCCACCAGAATACTGTGGTACTCTACTGAAAATGTACTTTCAGTATATTTACACAAGTAAAATATGGGATGTACTGTATTTCACTGGTCTACCAGGTCTGTTATCCTACCAAAGAAGTATTTCAGTAAGTCAGTGAGTGGTAAATTCAGTATGTGGTCAGGTTGACCCAAATCCAAGAAAGAAGCACTGCATTTTAAGTCACAGCTGATCTCCAGAACTTCAGTCCCTCCAAATTCACTTTTCCACATAAACTTTTCTGGACAATTGTGGTTGAATAATGAGCCTGCAACGGCCCAGGTCACTCTTGACACCTTATGGTTTAAGCAGAAGTTCAGAATTATAGAGAAGTATTTTGTCATCTAGGACCCACATAGCACTGCATACCGCTCCAAATACCTCCTTTTTCTCCTTCAGTCTCCTCAAGATTCTTCCAGACACAGGCATTGTGTATTTTTAATCTTTGATCTCTTTGACACTTCTTTGCAGCGGGATCAGGCACTCTGAAAGGGCACCTAGGCGAAGGTGAAATTTTCAGCCTGTCTTTGTTATAGTCCTATTCTACTCATACAATACCCCCCTTGATTTGAGAGATGGTTAGATACCTTGGCTACCAGGTAATGATTCTTCAGTTGCTTCTTGCAGATTTCTGAAGTGCAGGTTACCAGCGTAGGCCCAGCTGTGGGCATACTGGGGTTCTCGGAGTTTGTTTGCACTTCAGATATGGAAATTTTTATGTTCACATTCCCACTCTCCTTTTTTTCCTTTGCCACTCACGTTCAACAGCATCTTTCTTAGCAGAAACTTTCCCTTTCAACGTATTTTATTGTTAATACAAAATGCTGTTCTTCTGCCTTTATTTCTGTCTTTTTCAAACAGTTTATATTCTTCAAAACTTGTGTTTCACCAAGTTTCTAAAATCCCTCTAACATTTGACTTGATATCTTCTACTGATATTTCTAACATGTCCTTTTTTTTGCAGGAACAATAGCACCTCCTTTTAAAATGTTAGCGTTTTTCATCTAATTTCTCAACAGAAAAAAATGATACACTGACCCCATTATAGTCTCAAGGCAACCACTTAGAGTACCTCTTTGCTACAGAAGAAGTCTAGGCTCTTACTCCTGTCCTGTTCTCTGTCAATTCCAATTCACACAGAAGACCTTCTCACCTGAGTTTGGTAGTGTATTCAGGTAAGGGTAGGTGGCATGTCTGGGGATATGTGTTAACGACCATGTTTTGTTGTCACTTGTAATCTGTATGTTACACAGTTAGGACACCAGTCTAAGCTATTAGAGGGTTAATTGTCTGCCATTTCTCCTGATGTGTCAAGAGGTGCACTCAAATACTCACCTAGGATGTGTTTCCTTTCTCATTTTAATTTGTCAGGAATG